GCCAGAAGCGCGCACAGCCGCCAGCTCCACTCACCTCCCGTCTTCTCCACACCAGGTGAGAGCCCGTGCCGGTGTCGACAGGTGGTCTGTGACCTGGCCAACCCAGAACTGGAGGAGGGGCCGTCACGGATCCGTTAGAGGGACAGGGGCGCGGGCTGGAGCTGTGAGTTTGCGCGGGTCTGACCCAGGCTGGGCAGCAACGAGACCTTTCCGGACCCTGGCAAACAGGGGCCCTTTGGCAAGGGATGGAGGTTGTACAGACTGTCCCTTGGCCAAGGAGCTAGATGGGCCCTGCACAAGGCTGCCAAGGGGCGGGCTGCAATTCAGTGCTCCTTGACCCAACAGACCCTATGTGTCATAGGTAAGGACACAGCCCTGCCAGCTCCAGGATCCTTCAGAGCAGACGTCTCCTTCCTCAGCTCTGCACTCCTGGGCACGACACAGGGATGGTGACCGGAGGACTCCCCCCTCCAACACACAAGTGCTGCGTGCCAAGGCGGGGCTTCCCCTGTCTGGGCCCTGGGCCCAGCTGTTGTCCTACTAAGGGCCCCACCAGGCTCACTCCTGGGAGGGGACAAGGACTCCTGGGAGATCTGGGTCCTTCTTCCATTACAGATGTGCTATGGTTCCAGGAGAAGGGCACCGGGCGCCGCCCAGCTATGGGGACTGGTAATGAGGTCTGCTCAGATCTCTGTGAGGGTGGGATTTCAGACACCAGTAGGAAGAAGCAACAGCAAGTCAGTGGCCAGGCCAAGTACCAGCACTCTGATCCTTTTTCCAGGACCTGGGAGGGGCACTGATGGCTGAAGGGCTAAGGACGCAACCCTAGAAACTGCCTCCACCGAAGCGTACTTTGTCCCTCAGCTGCCACAGGTGCATTGCCAGCCTTAGTGTGGGTGTTTCCTTTGTTCTGGCCTTGACAGCATCAAGGGCCAAATTTCCGACCCACTGACCCAACCTAGCCCAGGGTCCTGGCTTCCAGCAGGCTCTTTGGGTTTCCCTTCTCGGGCCTGTTTGCCTAACTGCACAGTGGGAACCCCATCCTCTGCTTCCCAAGACTGCTGCCTTGGACAGGGCAGCCGCGCACACTCAGCTCGGATGCAGTGCTCTTGCCATCCTCTGGCTCCCTGGCAGACGGTGAGGACAAGAGGCCTTGAAGGCAGAAGGGCCAGGAGGGCCCACACCTACCCTAGGACTGTGCAGACCAGAGGGCTATGTCAGTCCAAGCTCGCAGCAGACACTGCGCTTGGGAAGGATCTGGCACCTCTGAGCCACAGAAGAGGGGGGTCCAGCTTCCGGACAACGGCATCCCCTGCCCTCAGTCTTCTTCATTCCTACCCCGCCCTGGTCCTGGGTAAGAAGGGCTCTGGCCACCCCTCAAACCATGCAAGAAACACTGAAATCCTGGTGAGTGCTGAATGGACTGGGTGGGCCACAGCCAGCCAGAGTCTCAAAAACTATACAGATAGGGGCTGGGGATTTAGCTCAGTGGCACCACACCTGTCTTGCAAGCCCAAGGTCGTCAGTTCAATCCCCAGTACTGGAAACAACAAAAACCTATATGGATAGCTGTGCCCCTGGGGACTTGCCGCAGCTAGCCAAACCCCATCCAGAACAGGACTTGAGATTTTTTTTTTTTTTTTTTTTTGTCATTTGAGACAGGGTAATGCTTTGTAGTTCAGACTGGCCTTGAATTTATTATGTTGATCAGGCTGGCCTCAAACTTGAGGCAGTCCTCCTGTCTCAGCCTCCCAAGGGCTGGGATTACAGGTGTGCATCACCACATCCTGCCAGGGTTCAAAACCAAGGTCTACCTGGACATGTGGCACACACTGTAGTCCCAGCTACTTGGAGGCTGAGGCAGGAGGAGCCCTTGAGCCTATATGAATTTGAGATCACCCTGGGCAACACAGTAAGATCCTCATCCTAAAAAAAAAATCAGGGGGCCAGGAATTTAGCTCAGTAACACTACACCTCCCTCACAAGCACAAGGTCCTGAGTTCGATCCCTGGTACAGGGATTTGGGGGGACCAAAGGTTGAGGTCCATGAATGACTTCAGCAGGGTTATGGGACAGAAGCCTAGAAACAGCTTGCACACTCTCAGCCCCACAGTTTGGAGTGACAAGCGGGTGGCACAGGCAGAGAAGCTTCCAGCAGATGCTGGACCAAGGCACTCGAGCAGAGGAAAGGAGGGGACAGCCATCCTGGGGCCTGGCCAGCCAAGAGAAAGCAGGCACTTAGGCATCACAAGTTATGCAAGGGGACGGGGAAAGAGTCCCTTGTCTGGCCTCAAGTTCCCTGTCTCTACAGGGGAGGCAGCCAACCTCACGCCGCTGTTCTTTAACAAGCTTCCTGAGTCCACTGTGAGCTATGGCTGGAGCGAAAAGCAAAGCTGGGGAGGACAGCAAGGACGGGGAGACTCAAGGCCTGGGCTGGAGAGGGAAGCAGGCCCAGGAGGAAGGGGTGGGAGTGGCTGGGGAACAGCAGCGGTCAGCACAGCCGGAGCCAGGTCACAGAGGGACACAGGAAGGGGGGTTTGGGCAGTGTCTTGAAGGCTAGGCTGGGGGAACCTCTGAGGGCTTCCAAGTGACAGGTGCAGGTCTGGGTCCAGAGGGGATGAGGAAGACTGGCCAGAAGCTTAAGAGGCCGAGTGTTGCACAGAGGTGACAAGGACCTGGGGTCCTCAGCCTGGCAGCCTCAGTCCCTGCTAAGCACACAGAATGAAGGCTGGAGAGGGGGCCGAGGAGCAAGCCACTCAGAGCCTGGAAGAACCTGCAGCAGAGGGATGGAGCGGCCAGGAGGAGGAAGAGGAGGAGGACACTGGAGGAATGTCAGGAGTGCGGCTGCTGCTGCTCCCTCTGGAGCCCAGGGAGCCTGGAAGGCAGAGCTCCTGCTGCCTCCTCCGTGTCACCCCACTTGTCACTTGCAGAGGGAGAGATGGGCAGTGTAAATGCTATTAGGTCTAAAGTGTTTTACCCAAACAGTCACAGCAAAAATAGCTTATTCTGTGCCTAGCACCATTCCAGGTGCTCTCCGGGCTCTGAGTGTTAATCGCTGAGCACTCCTCCTGTCGTGTGCCCATTCCCACAGGAGGAAACCCAGGTGGGAGAGGGAGAGGATGCTGTTGGAGATCACTGTCTGCTTTCAGGAAGAACTGGGTGGCAGGAGGCCCGTGCCTGTGGGAGGCCCTATATGCCAGGCCTAGAGTGAAACCATCTGGGGGAGGCAGGAGGATTCCCAGGCTCAGAGTCATGCCCTGCACCTGCTTCCTGCAGGGAAGCCCCGCCCACCTGAAGTCAAGATGTCCAGCAAGCGAGCCAAGGCCAAGACCACCAAGAAGCGGCCACAGCGGGCTACATCCAACGTCTTTGCGATGTTTGACCAGTCCCAGATCCAGGAGTTCAAGGAGGCCTTCAACATGATCGACCAGAACCGCGATGGCTTCATTGACAAGGAGGACCTACACGACATGCTGGCCTCGCTGGGTGAGTGGGGCTTATCCTGGGAGAGCACTTCCTGGGCAGTGAGTCCTGGGGAGTAGCTGACCTCACTTCATCCATTTAAAATAGGGAAAGGCTGGGGATTTGGCTCAGTGGTTCTGCCGCCAGCCTCGAAAGCACTAGGGCCCGAGTTCCATCCCCTGTACCAAAAAAAATAAAATAGGGAAACCAAGGCACAGACAGTTCTGGGATTCCCTGAGGTCCAGCCCCACCTGTGAAGGGTATGGACTGACTCCTGAGTGAGACAGCCCCACCAGGTGTGTGTGCTGAGTGACATTTCACCTAGAAAAGGGGGTCAGCAGCTGAATGAGAGTTTCAGCTGCACACTGCATTGTAATTGTAGAGACAGGGAGACCAAGACCTGGAGGGGAGGCCAGAGCACCTCCTCTGTGACCGCAGAGTCAGGTTCTTAGAATTGAAAGGGCTCAGGATTAAGGCCATCTTGGCGCTGTTCAAACGAGCCCGGAGGAAAGGCCTCCACAGACCACACCCAGGTCATCCCTCCCCACATGCTGGCTACAGCCTCCCTTGGCCCCAGCCTGGCACAGCCTTCATCCAGGTGAGAGCTCCTCGACCAGATCCAGTATCAGAGGGGCAGCCATGATGACCAAGCCACCAGCATCGGGCCAGATGGCCTGGGTCTGTCCCCTGCCCATTTCCCTCCCTGGGCAGGAGTGCTGACTATGCCCATTCCAGGTGCCAGCCCTCTCCTGGCTTCAGGCCAAGCTCACCCATGGCACCCGTGGCCTCCTCTCCCAGGAGGGTCCCAGCAGGAAATGGTCACCCAGCAGGGCTCTCCTTTAGGGTCCTCTGACTTCACAGAACGGGAGGACTAAGGCCAGAGAGGGGCTGTTCCTCTCTGCCCTCCATCCTGTCCTGATGGAGTCCTAGCTCTTCTGGGTCTCACAGAGACATGAAGGCTCCCACCCATTTGCAAGACGCCCGAGACCTGGTGACCACCCCAGATGTGTACCCAGTAAGCCATGCACATGTAGCCCATGTCACTGGGCCCACATATCAGTCGTGGCCCTCCAGTTAAGAGGACCAATCTCAGCCAGATGTGGTGGCACACGCCTGTAATCCCAGCACTCAGGAGGCTGAGGCAGGAGGATCGCTGTGAGTTTGAGACCATCCTGGGCTACATAGTGAGTTCCAGATCAGTCTCAACTACATAGTGAGACCATGTCTCAAAAGACAAAAACACCATCTTTGCCAGGCATGGTGGTGCATACTTATGATCCCAGCATTCCAGAGGAAGAGGCAGGAAGATAGCTACGAGTTCAAGGCCAGCCTGGGCTACATAGTGAGTTTAAAAACAAAAACCCAACTTCCTTAGATTAAAAAAAAAAAAAAAACAGCAATTTAATAATAAGCTCTGCTGGTATTATCTTAATTCTGAAAGCAATCCTCTTGGGTGGAATAGATGTGATTGCCATTCCCTCTTTACAAATAAGGAAACTGAGGCTCAGAGGTTAATCCGTCCATGGTCTCCTAAGTGGTAGAGCTGGGAGAGGAAGCAGCAACTGATTCCAGAGTCCACAGCCCGTGCCAATGGTTTGCATTTTGCAAACACTGTCTTGTTCATCTTAATGATTCTCCTGAGACACAGGAAACGAGGCACAGAGCTGGGCTTCAAATTGAGGCCTATGTGTCACCAAAGCTCACTGATTTAACCACTTTGGAAACCAAGTCTGGAATATGGAGTTAGGCTGCCTGGATTCAGGTGTCTGCTCTGCTGCTTAACTGCTGTATGACCTTGGAAAGCTGCCTCATCCCTCTGTCTCGGTTGCATAGCTGTAAAGGGGTTAAGAATGCTACCTTCCAGCTCAGGAAGGTTCCGAGCTCAGTGGTTCCGCCGCCTGCCTGGCAAGCACAAGGTCCCGAGTTCGATCCCCTGTACCAAACAACAAAAAAGAATGCTACCTTCAGAGGGTGAGGATGGTGCAGCGCAGAAAGACAACCAAGGCAGCAGACAAGGTCAGCAGTGCCCCAAGCAGCCAGGATGGGGCTAGGAGCTCAAGAGCCATTGCTCAGTGCTGCAATTCAGGGTTCCCAAAACTCACCACCGGGGAGGTCCAGGGAGTCGGGATCTCCCAGGTCAGGGCAGGAGGGACCAACGCCCCATTGCTACCACAGGGAAGAACCCCACAGATGAGTACCTGGAGGGCATGATGAGCGAGGCCCCGGGGCCCATCAACTTCACCATGTTCCTCACCATGTTTGGCGAGAAGCTCAACGGCACAGACCCCGAGGACGTGATCCGGAACGCCTTCGCCTGCTTCGACGAGGAGGCCTCAGGTTGATGGGGCTTCGGGCAGGGCCAGGGGCGGGAACCACAGAGGCGCAGGCAGGCGGGCCAGACGCATGGAGGGGCCCCTGTCCAGAACCCACGCCACCAGCTCCTAGTGCTGCTGCCAACTGTAAGAGCCAAGCGGCCTCCTGCTGTCTCCTCAGAATGCCCCAGTGAAATGGCCGTGTCCTCCAAGGCCCCTACTTCTGCCACTCCTCTGCTGGCCCAACACTGCCCCACCGCTTTAGACCTTTCTGGAAATGAAACCATTTCACGCCTTAACTGCCAACCCCCCCACATCTCAGATCATCCTTCTAACTCACCATGGACAGGCAGAATAATGAAGGCAATAGTAACCACTCTCAGAAGCCACTCAGAACATTTTCCAGACTACCAGGAACAGCCCACCACCACCTCTAGCCCCCCTACCACCGCGGTGGCCCATTTTCATCCCCATTTTCCAGATCAAGTAAGCCCAGAGAGGTTAAGTACTTGCCCAAGGTCACACAGCTAGGAAGAACGGAGATCAGCATTTCAACTCAGCCCAAACTGGCTGGAGGCAGGACAGTCCAGCTGCGCTGCCCCAAAAGCACGCATTGTCAGAGAAACACCTTGCAGACAGGCCCACCACAGAACTCCCCCTGGGACCCTAGTGACCCCTCCTGAGCCCTCCTATCCATGCTGTAAGTCCCCAAATTGACCGGAGCCCGGGGAGGTGGCTTCCTGGCCCCCTCTCCAGCCATGAGATCTGCAAGGGATGGGGGGCTGAAGGGTAGGGACCCTTGGTGCGCCCGAGTCCCCAAAGTCAAGGTCCCCCATCCAACCCCCAGGCTTTATCCATGAGGACCACCTACGGGAGCTGCTCACCACCATGGGCGACCGCTTCACAGACGAGGAGGTGGATGAGATGTACCGTGAGGCGCCCATCGACAAGAAAGGCAACTTCAACTACGTGGAGTTCACCCGCATCCTCAAACACGGCGCCAAGGACAAAGACGACTAGGCCACCCGAGCCTCCCAACGCTGGCCCCGCCCAGGCACCCCTCCTCACACTCTGTACCGCTCCATGCCCACAAGACCCTGGCATCTTTCCTGAGGGGTCAGGTCCCAGCTCCCAGGGGAGGAAACAGCACGGGAATCGCAGGGCCAGGCAAGGGGGCTTAGGCAGGTGCTCCACCATGACCCGGAGAGCCCTGCAGGGAAGGACCACTGTCTGAGGAGAGGAGCCAGAGGGCAGGGCCAGGAGGTACCTAGAGTCCCTCGAGACAGCCAGGCCTTGGCCATGGCCCGCCCACTCGCCCCAGGAGGAAGGGGCCCCCATTCACCACCCCAGTGCGTCCCCACACGTGCATGCACTCACCGAATCCCTACTCAGAGCCAGGGCAGCAGACCACCCCCATGGCCTGTCAGCTCCCAGAGCACAGCACAGCACAGCACACCAGAGTGAGCTCAGGAGGCTGTGTGAAGAGGGATGTTTGCCCTCAGGGAGGTGGGGTCTCCAATACAAGGTTGAACACTGCCTTAGGTCTGTGTGTGTGACCCCGGACCCCAAATACCTGCTTCCTCCCAGCCCCAGCGGCTGTCCTGATCACCCTGGGCTGGAGGACCCTCATTCCACATAGGCCCTGAAGCGCAGGGGCTCCATGCTAGCTAGGGGCAGTGAAGGGGCCTCCTGGGCAGGGAGGGCGGAGCGAGGAGGACCAAGGGTCCACCCACGGGGCAGATCTCCGGGTCATCCCAGCACTCTGGGGGCCCATGGTCCCTGGAGAAAGCGAGGCAGTGATGACACGGGCATTGCACTAGCTCAGGGTGGAGGCTGGAGCGACTGCGCACCAGCTCCAGCTGTCCCTCGCCCACAGCCACAGTGGGAAGGGGAGGTGCAAAGCAGACCACGGCCTTTTACACCCAGCCATACGCAAGGTGGGCAGGGCTGGCACCTCTGCCACGTCTGAAGGGTGGGGACACGGACGACCCCGGCTGGAACATGAGAGAGCAGTACTGGCTGGACAGAAGAGGCAGGGCTGCCTGAGCTCACACGGAGGGTCTGCGGCAGAGCGGGCTGTACATGTCCCAGCTGACCCCGGCAGAGGCTGGGGGCAGCTGCTGGACCCAGTGTGGTCCTGCTGACCTCTGAAGGGGTCACTCAGAACAAGAAGCCACAGCACACGGCTACCGCCAGAGAACACAGCGCGGGGTGCCGGGCAGCAAGAGGACTCCATACCTCCTAACACCAGCCCTGGTCAAGCATGTGCTACTCTTGTCCACTCCAAATTGAGCTCCGCAAAGCCCTGGTCCCCAGGCCAGCCCAAATCAAGGTCCAAAGTGCGCCCAAATACTGCCCCAGACTCAGGCCCAACCACATCCCTGCCTTCAGGCCCCAGCGCCATGCAGGGCCCTGCAGCCTCAGTCTGGCCACCTGGGACAAACAAGCACAGCACTGGCCTGGAGATACCCCTAGCAGAACTGCTGTGGCACTCAGCCTTCCAGGAAGAAGACAGGGCTGTGCTAGATACAAACCTCGGGAGTCCAGGCCCATCTGCCACCCCCTCTGGCCATGACACAGAGCTCAGGTCAAGGTGGGGAGGGGAAAAAGCAGTCCGTCCTCACGTCTCAACCAGCCTGGGCTGAAGGGCCTGGAGCAAACGAGGAGGGAAGTAGCAGGTAGGGAAGGCAGAGGCCCAACAGCTGGGGGAATCCTGCCCAGACATCGAGGAGGACTGGGGTGAGAGCACACCCATGTTAGGAGCAGGGAAGGAAGCGGTGATGAGCCAACGTATTAACATCTTAGCTTTGCAGAGGAAAAAACAATTTAAAAGAAGCTGATGGGTTCATCTCAGGCAACATTTAGAGGTAACAGTGAGAAACCCCCAGAGCTTTCCAAGTCTAACACAAAACCCAGAAGCAACAAAGGAAAAGAATGACAGATTTAAAGCATGAAGTCTAAATACATCCTGTGGGGCTCAAGAAACCATAAGCAAAAGTAAAGCCAAATGCAAACAGGGAAAAGACAATATATGTACAAGAAAAAAACCTGTTAAATGATACTAATCCATAAAAAAGCTGCAACTGCCGGGGTTGGCAGCACACACCTGTAATCCCAGCACTTGGGAGGCTGAGGCAGGAGAATCACTGTGAGTTCGAAACCAGCCTGGGCTACATAGTGAGTTCCAGGTCAGTCTCAACGACATAGTGAGACCCTGTCTCAAAAAACAAAACAAAACAAAAAGGCTGCAACAGGTCCAGGGATGTAGCACAGTGACGCCGCCGCCTGCCTCCCAAGTGCAAGATCCTGAGTTCAGTACCAAAGAAAAGCTTTCAACAATTCAGTAGAAAAAGACAATTCAGCTGAAAAAATGGGCACGTAACATGGAAGGGACTTGGAGAAGAAATGCAAACATGCAAACTTTAAGGGCTTAGCAAATTTTTTTTTTGGTGGGGAGACAGGATCTCACTATGTAGTCCAGGTGGGCCTTCAACTTGCAACAGTCCTTCTGCCTCAGCCTATCGAGTGCTGGGATTATAGGCGTGTGCCACCCTTCCAAGCAACAAACATTTTTAGAAGGTCATGTAAATTTTTTAAATTTATTTTTTCCTAACAGTTACATGGTTTTAATTACTGTACTTAGCTCTTTAAAAAAATTTTTTTAAACAGGGACACCCTGTGTAGTCCAGGCTGGTCTCAAACTCACAGCAACATGGCCATCCTCCTGGCTCAGCCTCCCACAGTGTTTGTTTTGTTTTTTGAGACAGGGTCTCACAATGTAGGTGAGACTGACCTGGAACTCACTATGTAGCCCAGGCTGGTCTCGAACTCAGCGATCCTCCTGCCTCAGCCTCCCTAGTGCTGGGATTACAGGTGTGCACCACCGTGGCTGGGTGCAGCTTATTAATTTTAATAAAGTAATTTATCAATTTTTCCTTTTGTGGACCATAACTTTAGGTCAAGTTCCAAAACTTTTATTCCTAAGTTCCCAAAAATTTCTCCTGTTTTTTTTCCTCAATGTTTGAGTTGCACTTAAGCACAAAGAACATTTGGAATTAATTTCTACAAAGTGTAGGGTTTAGGACAAGGCTCTCCATTTTGTCTATGGCTGTCCAGCTGCACCAGCAATGCTTTTGTTGTTTTGTTTTGTTTTTTGGTAATTTTTTTTGAAACAGGGTATGACTATGTCCTTCAGGCTGGCAGCCTTGAACTTGTGGTATCCTCTCCTGTCTCAGCCTTCCAAGTATTGGGGTTACAGGCGTGCACTAACATGGCCAGCCTAATACTGAATTCCTTCATACCTTCATGAGAGAGCATCAGTGTGCGTCTGTGAATGTGTGAATCTGCTTCTGGATTCCCTGTTCTGCTCCCGTCTCCCCCTCCACCATAAACAGTCTTTACTACAGCTGCATGGTAAGCTTTAAAACTGGATGGAGAGTGCTCACTTCAGCAGCACATATACTAAAACTGGATGGAGAAAACTGTCCCACTTTATCCTTTCTCAGAATTATACTATAAGTGCGGGGATTTGGCTCAGTGGTTCTGCCACCTGCCTCGCAAGCACAAGGGCCCAAGTTCAATCCCCAGTACCCCCCAAAAAAGAGTAAGAATTATACTATTAGCCAAGTGTGGTGTCTCAGGTCTGATTCCAGCACTCTGGGAAGCTGAGGCAGGAAGACTGCAAGTTTGAGCTCAGACTGGGCAACTTAGCAACGTAACAAGAACATGTCTCAAAATGAAAACTAAAAAGGTCTGAGTATGTAGCTCAGTGAGAAGTCGCTGGGTTCAACCCTAGTGCCGGAAAAAACAAAAAGCAAGACGAAAAGCCACTGTGAAGCAACAAAAACAGTGAACACCACACTCAAAAATCTAGAAATTGGCAATCCTAGATACAGAATAAAGGAAAATACAACTGTTGAAATAAATGTGAAAGATAGACAAGAAGGCATTACATACACCTAAGCAGGTCTCAGAGAAAAGAAATAGAGAAGGGACAATATTTAAATCATAACTGGGGCTGGGGATTTAGCTCAATGGTGCTGCTGCCTGCATGGCAAGTGCAAGGACCTGAGTTTGACCCTTAGTACCAATCAGTCAATCATAACAGCTGCCTAGAGCAACACCCTACCCAAAAAGCACAACTTATCCCAAAGCAGGATAAATAAAATGTACACCCAGACACAGCATAGCAATCCTTTAGAACTTCAAGATGAAGAATGAACTTTATAACAGGTGTGGTGGTGCATGCCTGTAATCCCATCACTCAGGAGGCTGAGGCAGGAGGACTGCCATGTTGCCATGAGTTTGAGACCAGCCTGGACTGTATAGTGAGACATTGTCTCAAAAAAGTTTTTAATTAAAAAAAAATGAGTTGCATGTAGTGTGTACATCTATAACCCCAGCATTTAGGAGGCCAACGCAGGACTGTGAGAGGCCAGCTTGAGCTACATAGTGAGACACTGCCTCAAAAAAATAAATTTAAAATAGAAACAGACACTGTTGAGGCTGGGGACGCAGTTCAGAGGTGGAAGGTGGCCTTAGCATGCACAAGGCCCTTGGTTCAACCCCCAAGACCAAAAATAACAAAAGAAAAAAAAAGAGGAGGTAGACATAGACTCTTTTTTTGTGTTTGTTTTGTTTTGGTACTGGGATCAAACTCAGTACTTTGTGCCTGCCAGGGAGATACAGTGCCACTGGGCTAAATCCCCAGCCCATGACACAGACTTGCTTAAAGGACAAAATGAAGACACTAAGTTATGCACTGTGTTCATGAATAGAGCAGCTCAACACTGTACCTAAAGTATAAACTCACTATAATTCCAATTAACATTCCTGCAAGTAATGTTCAAAAATTCAAATACTGCTGGGCACAAGCGGCGTGCACCTGTAATCCCAGGAGGCTGAGCCAGGAGGACCAAAGATTCAAGTCTAAACTGGGCTGGGGACGTAGCCCAAGGTGACAGAGTGTCCTTAGGTTTGATCCCCTGTGCCACCAAAACCCTAAGTATATACACAGAAGAGCAAAGGTTCACCAATTACCATACTAACTTCTGAAAAGAACAGAGATTTCCTTTTGAAGTGGAAAGGTCTTATGGATGCCATGGTAACAAGACTACTCCAAGATCAACTTGTTATTTGAACAGAAGAAAAACAAATTCTAGTTTTGCCTTAATATTACATTTGGCAGTAAGTATTCACAAGTTTTTCTTACAAATAAACTCACTGAAACTGAACAGACTTTGCCAAAACATAAATGTATTGCAACTGCTTTTTCCCCAGACTCACTGTAAGCCTTACACATCGAGGTGAAAAAGATTCTTCAACCTCTTCCAGCTTTCTGTGTTTACTCCAGTGAGGTCCTTTCACATGGCACCACAACCAAATGCTTTACTCTTTTGTTTTCTTTCTTCCTGGTACTGGGGATTGAACTCAGGAAATGCTGAGCCACCTCCTTAATCCTTTTTATTTTTAATTTTGAAACAGAAGGGGTTTTAGTCCATAATCAGCTGGCTCCAACGCAGAGGGGCGTCGCAGAG